AGTCTTTTTGTCTCCGGAGTTCCTGAGTTGAAAGTTCAGTTATTTAAGAGTTGTAGTATAAATATTATGTTAATTTGGTATTTTGGTGTTATCTTGGCTGCTGGCAGCCGACCGCAGCCCAAGTTACGGCACCCGACCTTCTTGTTTCCCCCTCAATAATCCATTCTGTCTTTCTGTCTTGCTCACCTTTTCGTTTCTTCTTTCTTTTGGTTGTGTTGTTGTTGAGAGAAGATGGTGGCTGGCGTCCTAGCCCGGATCTGCCCGGGAACCTGTGTTGGGCCTCACCCCTTTGCCAAGTTTGGGGGTCTCCTTTGGAGCTTCTTGGTCTGAGGGTCCTACTGCCTCATTATTTACACGAGGCAGGGGGGGACTAGCCCCCCTGAGGCATTCAACAAGTTGCAAGAGCTGACGAGCGTCATGAACTTGCTTCTCCCGCCATCTTGCCACCACCGGAAGTTATTTTTTAATAGTGCTTATCTTTCCATCTTTTCCAAAATGGAATCTCTAGGTCCTCCAAAGTGATTCTATGGTAATTTGAAAATTGGCAGCGCGAGTTGTGGTGGGGGACTTTGAAATTTCTAGAGAGATATTCTCTCAGGTTTTTTTTATTTGGGGGTTTCCACTTTCACAGAGGCTTTGTGCCCCTAACCCCAGCAAATGTGCACAGATGCCTATAATGCATTTTTATGAGACCAAGGAAAGGTTTGTTTGTAATGAGTTGCACTTTTAACTGTTAACTGTTCAATGTAATATTGTGTTTATATTTTTAAATTTAAAAAATCAATTTGTAACTTTAAAAAACATAATCAAACCTTATCTGCACTGTCCAGTGACTTAAATATTCAACTTTCCTGTTAGTATGTGCAATTTCTCTTTGGAGAAATCTGGATTTGTTTTACTTACCTTGATTCTTGTCTCTCGAGCCCTTTATTGTAACAATGTGTGTCCTGTCAGATTGAGAGAGTGAGAGAAATAGGGGGGGGGGGTGGAATTAAAATGTTGTGAACCTATTTAGGAGTTTAGGAAGGAGTCCTGTCCAAGTTTAGATAAGAAATGTTTCATCTAGTAGCTACAGTTACATTCAACTGTGGCCTTTTCTGTTTTCAGAGGTTTGTTTAGGAAAGCATGCCTTAATGAAACAAATATAATTGCAGACTTTTGAATAATTTTAGGAGATGGCAGTGAAAAATGAAGTTGGACTGATAAATAATCCTCTAAAAATCACCTGGCTAGAGGGCCAACCACAAGGCAGCACAGTGTATGCTGATGGCAGCATCCAGCCACGAATATCCCAGGTAAGCCAGTGCAAATTACTGGTGCTTTTGTCTGTGTATTTGTCTGTGCTGCAGTGCACGGGGGAGATGTTTAACCTCTGCATTGGCTTTATTTTTGCACTGTTGAATGAAAAATGTTGAATGAAAAATGTTTATTGTTGAATGTATTAGGCTTAATTCAATCATAAATCTGCCTTGATTTTCAAAATCCTATAGCTATGCTGTGATAAAAATTAACTGTGCTATTGCTTGTTAAAATTTTGATAAAACCATGTCAGTGGCATTTGTTATGTCAGGTTTGGATCATTAGCCTGTGCAATTTATGAAAAGGGAGCCTGGAAAAAGATGAACATGAATATCTTCTGTAAATTATATTGATTACATTACTTTAGCATTTGTGTTGTGCTGTTAACGTTTATGGAGAAGACACAGCATTTTGAAGGAACCTGTCAGTTAGACACACTTTGCAAATCGGTTGTTTCTGACTTAGGGCAATTTTGTCACATGGTTTTGTTCACAAGATTTGTTCCCAGACGGTTTGCCATTGTTTCTCTCTAAGGCTAAGAGAATGTTACCTGCTCAAGGTCACCCACTGGATTTCCATGTCTGAGTGAAAATTCAATCCCAGATCTTGTATTTTTAAAAATCAGAGAAAAAATAGACTTGTTTTTTTACTTCTCTAAGAGTGAGAGGTAAAGCAAGCCTCTTTTTTAATACATTGCTAGGAAACACCAATTAGAGTGTTGCCATAAGTCAGAGTTGAGAAATCACTCTTGTGCTTTTGTGGGTTTCACAGAGGCTGCTGATATCTACCGTTTAAATAATGTTTGACGAAAGAGGAAAATTTAACTCTTTCATTCCCTTGGTGAGCCACATTGTCATATGTCAGGGTAACTCAAGGGTAATTGTGCCACTTTTGGCTGAGTTTTAGGGGTCTTTTCTTGGTGGGGAGGGGGAGACTTGGAGGGCTCTGAAACAATGTCGAAATAAACTGATGCATTTGTATCCATTGCCTGAGTTTCAGATAAAGCATTACTGGAAAATAACGCTTTATAAAACTAGATAAATGGAACTGGGAGATTTGCGGAGCAGGGAAATGAGCTGGTTTGAGTTTGGACTAGGCTTCTGGAAGTTTAGAGTTCAAATCCCCAAGATCACCCGCTGAGTTTCCATGGCAAAATGAGGATTTGAACTCTGATCTCCCAGAGGCTTAGTACAGACTCAGACTGATGCATTTGTATCCATTGGGTGCGTTTCAAATAAAGAATTGCTGGAAAATAACACTTTTAAAAAATTGGTTTGGTCAGAGGACTTTGGGAAGCTACATGGTCATATTTCAGGATCCTGGTTGGTATATTTGACCATGAGCCACTCTTTGCCCACCTCCATCTGTATGGGATCTATACCTGTGCTCTTCTCATTCATTCCCTTTGTGCTCCCTGCTGTTGATTCAGAAGCTTAGCTACACACACACTTTTGATCATGGCCTGGCCTCTTTTCTCTGCACATGGCCTGGATAACTTCTTCAGTGGTGTGTAGGTGGGAAAGTAGCAGTTACATACTTAATGAGCAGGTGTTCTGGCGTCTTTTCAGGAGAAGCTGTTATTTGCATATGCTATTGTTTTGTTTGCAGGTTTCTTGGTGCTTGATTCAAAGTGGCATTTCCTGAGAAACTACCTCTCAGCTTCCTGGAGGCTTTGTTGGAGCCTGGGTGGCTCCAGCTTGTGTATACTTGCAGCTCTCTGTGAAGGTTGACTTCCCTATCTGACTCCACAGGGCTGACTGTTTACAGTCTCAGATAGTCCTGCCTGGAGTGGAATAGGTAACAGTCGTCTGACTGGTTACCCTGAATTGGGTGGATTCCATAAAGAACTTTGGGACAGATAATCTTCTAACTTCACAACCACACAAAGCTGTCTCAAGCAGACCCCCATAGAAGTCCTAGTTCTCAAGATAACTTCCGTAGGTTTGTTCTTAAGTTGAATTTGTTTATAAATTGGAACAGGTACATTCTTTCAGTGTAACTCCAACCTAGATAGAGAGAGAGAGAGAAAGTGAGAGAGCACACTTTGGATAGCATAGGGAAGTTTAACACCCCTGTGGTGTTTGTTTTGTTGTCTGTGTCCCTGTTGAGAAGTTTCCACCTCACTTTTTGTCCCTGTGATAACTGGATTTAGAGCGGGGACCAACAGCTTGTTGTGGAAACAAGGACTGGAGATAAAACTTCACTGGAGACCCTCTTTTCCCCTGATAACTCTTTCAGCAGTGAATTTCCCTCCTGAGGGGTAGATTTCTCTCGCATCCTATTGTCTCATCCTCCTTCTTAACTAGGAGTCTTTTATAAGTACAATATTTGTAACTCGGGGACTGCTTGTACTGCTTCTTACTAAATCTCTGGCTTGTGATTCAGTTTGTCTTGTCTGGTTTCCACTGCAGTGCTTTCGACTGGGAGGCTGTAGTCTAATTGCTGTATAAGATTAGTCCATCTTGAGCTGTGGGGTAAGGAAACCTGGGAGCCTCTGATTTATGTCCATAGGTCTATGTTGGTGAGAGAGTTGCAGTAATCAGCCCTGCCCAAATGGACCATTCTGTTTTGAGCTCTTCTATAATCCTTGTAGTAGGTTTTGTTTCTTAAGACAGACACAAATTGGGGGACATACTGCAGTTCAAGGCAGGTCTTCTAATGAAACTGCTGCCCAGTAGATTATTAGCTTGAAGGAATAACATGGGTGAAACGGGACAGAAACCGGTGCTTTTTCCTGAAGGAGAAATTTTCCTCTTAGCTATTTAACAAGCAAAACTCAGCCTCAATATTCATTAGAGCTGAGTTCATTACCCTGAGTTTATTAACAGTGAGATGGATTTGAGTCCTGAGGTATTTTTTGAAAGTACTGAATTATATGCCTCTGTGCTATATTCTAAACTCTTCATCAAGGAAACTGAATTCTATAATCTGCAGTAGTTAAGTTATTAAGTGGAATAAGCAACCATATATTTGCAAATAGAAATGAGATTCTTCATTATAAGACTTGAAAACTGCTTTGAAAATTCCCAGAATTATGGAGAATCTCAAAACTGTAAAAAGAGCCAGGAATAGACTGTGGATTATATACTTTTGTACTTTGGCCTGTAACGATCAAAGTTCCAGTTTACACTTTGATAATGAAAACATGTTCTTGTTGTTATCTCATGCCTTTGAATGTGCATCCCCACCCTTCCTGTTTCTATAAAACTACTCCTGTATGAATTCACATTCATTCTGCCTAAGACTACAATACTCACCACAGAATTCATTTGGAATTCAGTAGACAGAATTTGAATCTACATTATCTCTTTCTCCTAATCTTTTTGAGCCGTGTTACTTATCCTTATTATCTCTTACATTAGTATTCATCTCAGATTATTTCTTTCCTCAAAAATATGTAAGGGTCTTGAAATTAAAATTGTATTAGTATTAATTCCATTATTTTCATTTGCTGTTTTGTATTACATTCACATCACTATATATACATGTTAGCTTTCTAATTAATATCTGTGTGGAACACCCAGTGGCACAGCAGGTTAAACCGCTAAGCTGCTGAACTTGCTGACCAAAAGGTTGGTGGTTCGAATCCAGGGAGCAGGATGAGCTCCCGCTGTTAGGCTCAGCTTCTGCCAACCAATCAGTTCGAAAACGTGCAAATGTCAGTAGATCAATAGATATCACTCCGGTGGGAAGGTAACGGCACTCCATGCAGTCATGCCAGCCACATGACCTTGGAGGTGTCTATAGACAATGCCAGCTCTTCGGCTTAGAACTGGAGATATGCACTACCCCCCCCCCCCCCCAGAGTCGGACATGACTAGACTTCATGTCAAGGGAAAACCTTTACCTTTACTTCCTTGCTTGAACTATTTTACAGTCCATCAAGGAGGCATTCCAGTACTTTCTGATAGGACAGCTGATAAATAATGGGATATTTCCAGCTTCTCTCTCTTTCTTAACAGATGGAGGTCTCCTTGGCTCAATAGCTGTGTCAATTTCCACTGTTGTTTCTGTTTTGCTCACAGCATTCCATGGATAATTGAGGCTAAATAGTGGCATTTTGGAGACATGACAGAGGAAGCTGTAGATCGGTAGTCTGTGTTCCCCTGAAATGTCACAAACCAGAGCTGATACCATTAATTAACCATTGTTTTCATTGTGGGGGTGAAAGAGTTCTAGACAAAGAAAGCAGTGGAAAAATCCTCCCCTGTGTCCCATGCTTACTAGATTGAATTTGAGAAGCTTTGACTGCAACAGCAGTTCCACTGGACCCATACAGCCACCATACTTCGGATTAATCTACATTTGTCCCAGCAATAAGATACTTGCTTCTGGTTGGTATACACTATCATTCTGATCCTAAACAATTCCACTTAAAACTGAATATTCTTTTATATTAGAAACTTGACAGAATAATAACTTCTCCAAAGATAACAGAGACAGAGACACAATCTTGACAATGAGACCAAACTGCTGTCACTTTTTACACTTAGATGGGAATCCTTTGGCATGCTCGTTGAAAAGTCATTCTGCTAAGTAAAGTAGAGCACTGCTGTGCCCTTGAAATGCTGCTTACCTAAGCTTTTAAGCTGAAGTTATAAATCCTTAGATCACATCGGACTCTGACTTGTTTATATTGTTCAGGCAGAAACTGAAGCAAAAGTCGGCTTAATTAAGAGCTCTTGATATGAATTAGGTTCTCCCCCCCCCCCCCCCCGATGACATAGTAAGAATCTCAGCTATGCAGAAGTGGGTGGAGTTCAGAATTTGATACAAGCATTAGTTTAGTGGTGAGACAGAATAATGTGTGACACTGGTCACATGTTCAAACAGGTATTATTTCCTAACCCAGCTACTTTTACTTAAGAGACAAGTCCATTGTGGATCCCCCATGTAGGAAAGGCCTTGCTTTACTTTCTGCCTCTTTTTTTACAAACAGTGTGAGAGAAAATAGCAGCTAGGTAAGATGTGAGTTTTCAATAGAAAACCAGGGCCTGGGGCCATTTCCTCCCAAAATGTAAGCATGCTTATATTTTGACTCTGCAATAATAGTGAAGAATCTTTAAGGAAGTTATGGCACAGTTATTTCATCCTTCCATAATGCTTTTTGTGCGTGTGGAGAAATAGATTGAAGCATTGGAAAAATACTGAAGGGAAGATAATACATTTTAGAACCCTCCCCCAACTCCAGTAAAACCCCACATATTGAGTAGAAAAACCGAACAATAAAAGCTCCATTAAAGTCAATAACTTATGAACTACTATTAGAGACACCAAATTCTGGCCTTGGACCGTAGAAATTATTTTTCTTGTAGTAAATCTTAAGATGTTGAGGGAGAATGTGTAGTGCAGAGCTCTATCTGCATTACTTTTCCTTCAAGGCCCTTTTCTTGTTTTTTTTCTAGGGGTAATGGTAAGTATTTCTCCTGTGTCTGCTGCTAAATTAAGCTTTGTCCATGAAATTTAAAGAAGTGCTATGGATATAATGTAAATACTTTTAATAAAGACTACACACTCTTTCACATTTTACAGTAGCTGGCAGAAGTACTTCTTCTGCATTCACATACACACACATACCCAGTGATAAATACAAAACATAACAATAAGGCTTCATGGTAAAACTTTCCAATAGCTTAAACATATCAATTAATCAAAATGAATGTGAAAAAATATGTCTTGATGTAAGGGAAGCAAATCTTCATATTCATTGTCTTCACTTAATTAAGCACACTTCTAGGCTCTCACCTTCATTATTATTATGTTTATTTATATCCTGCTTTTTCTCTTCATGAAACCTTCAGCCTTTGAAATAGTCCCTATGAACTGAAGCCATGAGAAACTTGAGACTGCTGAGAGTATCCAAAGAAACCTCTCTGTTCTTATAGCACATTGCCTTGTGCCACACCACCCACTTTTTTGCTCATGCGCCTTTGTTTTGGAGTTCTGATACAGTTCAAATGTAGCAAACCTTTGGCCTGTCCATGAAAACGAAGTACTCCAACACAATAGGGGAGTCTTGGAAAAGAAAGAAGAACAGAAGCAGTACCTGTGATGTCTAGCTTATGGAGCAGTCTTCTGCTAGTGTCCTATAAGATCTCAATGAGAAATAAAGGACAAAATGCAGGTTAGTGAGGAATAGCCAGTAGTCCGATAAGGTACTTTCCTCTGGTTTAGCTGGAATTTAGCAAATTTTGTTTCCTGAGTGTATGCAAAACATCATCAAGGAGTGAGGGCCCAAAATCCAGCGTGAAGGAAAAGAAGGGATCTGATGGATCTAGAAAAGATTTACCAAGCCAAGAAGAGGTTTCTGAGGGGTACCAGGTTGTGTCTTGATTTGTGCAAATTAGGTCAGGTGATGTTTGAGTTGACTTATGGGAGTGATGAAAGGTGATTGGAAAGGAAAGGTTTGCAGAAGAGGAATCTGTGCGGTCTATTATATTGGGGCAGCTGGCACTGTCCAAATACAGCCGGGGAGGCTTTGGAGGCGGCTGTGGCTTTGTGGCTAAGTTTTGCTCGCTCTGGCATGATAAGTAGGCTGACTTCTTCTTCAAGTCCCTTCGGAGCTCCTTTTGATTGTAATGTCCAGAACAGTCTATTGTTTGACTGTCATGATTTAGGACGATGACTTGACTGCCAAGTTTCCTTGGCCTTCTGAATGAGAGGCGCTTGAAAAAACCTGAGGATCTGATGGAGCCTCTCCGCCAAGTGTCCATTGTGAAGGAAGCAATAAGATGGTGGTGATAGTTAACCGCACAGCGATGGCTAGAAGTTTTGGTCTCAAGTTATAATGAGGTATTTGGTCAATCAGCTCTGACCTCCTAGAAGGGGAAGAGAGAGAGAGAAAGCAAGGTGGCTTCTCGAAATAGACAAACATACCCTTAGTTTCTATTTATACTTTAAAAGTAGTAGGTAAAGGTAAAGGTAAAGGTTTCCCCTGACATGAAGTCTAGTCGAGTCTGACTCTGGGGGGTAGTACTCATCTCCATTTCTAAGCCGAAGAGCTGGTGTTGTCCGTAAACACCTCCAAGGTCATGTGGCCAGCATGACTGCATGGAGCTACATTACCTTCCCACAGAAGTGGTACGTATTGATATACTCACATTTGCATGTTTTAGAACTGCTAGGTTGGCAGAAGCTGGGTGTAACAGTGAGAGCTCACCCCGCCCCCTGAATTCGAGCCACCAACCTTTCAGTCAGCAAGTTCAGCAGCTCAGCAGTTTAACCTGCTGCACCACCAGAGGGCCCATTAAAAAGTAATACGCAAGGTTATGGATTTTACTGTTCTAGATTTGTTTTATGTACACTACATGTGCATTGGAAATCTTCCCTTAAGAGTGGTCTAAAGTAATTGTAAATCAAAAGATTTTTGGAGTAAATACTAGGTAAATATAATATTCTTCTCTTAAAACCTACAAGTAAATAGTACACACAAAAGTACTTCAGATATTCTGTCTTTTAGGTTTTTAGATATAAATCATGTATATTTCAGCTGCTTCAAACTATACTTCCAGTTACTTCTGTTCTGCTCTCGTGTAGAATATTTTCTTTGTCATCCTCATTCGGCCAATCATTTTTTAGTTGTTTATCTGCCTTTTCCCCCCTCTCAACATGAATCTAGGCACAATTACCATATTTCCCATTTCCACTTCTCATCTGTCATTCCTTCACCTCAGTCTCCCATTTGTCTTTCTTTTCTAATGCAGGTTTATTATTATTACAACATAGATATAAAACGTAGACTTGCCAGATCAACAGCAGTTGAAAATCTGTGTAGACAGACAGTTTGTCTAACCAAATCACCCAGACAGTGTCAATATTTTTTAAATATTCAGTATTCCACAGTTTTTAAAAAATACAATTGGCCTCTCATTCTTATTAACAAAGATATACTCTTGAAGGATTTGTCAATTCCTGGTGGGACTCAGTAGTCATTAAAATGAAAGTTAGGGTTAATACTTACGGAGCGACACGAACGTAGCCAGGAGGGGAACTTTGAAAGATGAGATCCAGCACAGTGACAGCAGTGATATTCTGCCTTGGCAGTCATTAAAAAGTCTGCCCAATGTATCTTTTTAGTTGTCTTTCTCTAGAACCTTTTCTTTTCTGTTGTTCTCCACTCATCCCAGTCAGCTACTCGTATGTTTTGCGTGTGGTAATTCCTTTGTGTGTGTTCTGTGCCAAGCCCTTGCTGACTCAGTCGCATCAGAAACTGGGATTTACGCTATTAATTGCCAAGGTTTCAGGAAGTAGGTGTGTAGAACTGACGCGTCAGACCACTTCTGGTGCCTGAGGCAAATTTAAGGCTTCTATGGAGCACTTGAACTATTTTCCTTAGTACCAATGCAAAGTGAAAGATAGGGAAGTACATATAATAACATTGATTAACATTTAGTTCTATCTGCCTAATTCCAGGTTCAGGAGACTCGTTTAATTACAACTATTGTTGAAAATGAAATCACCCCCGTATTTTGAAAGAATAAGTATAAAATGATCTGTAGAGTTGTAGTGCTTGTGACTCATCACGGCAGATGATTAGTAAACCTGATAACCCAGAAGCAATCTGGAACCATCTCTGTGTTAAATGTTACTGCTTAGATGTAGGTGAGCTGTCCACTAAACTTGCCTTTGTATTTTTTTTCTCACAGCATCAGAAGGCTAGCGAAACTTGGACATTCAGTAGCAATATCTTTGACTGCTTTTTTAAACCTTCCCATCACTCCAAGCATCTGCTTTTTAACATTCGTTTGTTTTGGAAAGGAATTTATAATAGCCTACCTTGCTATAGTAAAATTCTTTGTTTCCTTTTTCTTCTATTAGAGATATGTATGAATTGAATGTTTTTTTAAATTAAAACCTAACTCCCTATCATATCTTGAAGGTATTTCCAGATAAGCTCATACAGGGACTCATTTCTTGATGTGATGTTCTGTAGTAAGCAGGGTTCAGATTCGTTCTGGAAAGTAGATCCTCACTTAGCTATGAAGCCCACTATGTTTAGCCATAATCTACTCCATAATTTTACTGTTCAGGTGAAATGTGTGTGCTGGTACTCTTGCATTTGCAAATCTAAAAAGTCTGGGTAGCATAAAATTATGAACAATAATTAAATTTCTTATTTTTACATGTTTAAGGAAGTAATGATGCAGTTTCCTAATTGTTCTAGGAAAAGTATTTCCATTTCTTTGATGTTAACACAGGAGCTCTATCATTTGGCACAGGCAAAATTCTGGCAGCTGTTAATATAAAGGGGAATTCGTTGTCATAATTGGTTGTTTTGTCTTCCGATTGGAAGTACTCATAGAATCATTGAGTTGGAAGAGACCTTGTGGCCCATCCAGTCCAATCCCCTGCCAAGAAGCAGGAAGATCACAATCAAAGCACCCCCATCTAGCTTCTCTTTAAAAGCTTCCAAAGAAGGACACTCCACCACACTCCAGGGCAGATAATTCCTCTGCTGAAAAGCTCTCACAGTTAGGAAGTTCTTCCTAATGTTTAGATGGAATCTCCTTCCTGTAGTTTGAAGCCATTGTTTGCATCCTAGTCTCCAGGGCAGCAGAAAACTATACTCCTTATAGTTGTGTTGGTCTAGGAGTCCCCTTTATCTTCTTCTGTATTATAATATCTGTTGTTCTTGTGTGCCTTCAGGTTATTTTCATCTTATTGCAGCCCTAAGTTGAACTTTGAGTAGTGGGTAGGTGGGTTGGTTGGTTTTTGCAAGACTTCTCCTGAGGGGGTTTACCATTGGCTTCCTCTAAGGCTGAGAAAATGTGACTTAGCCCCAAGGTCACCCAATGAATTTCCATACCTAACTGAATTTACACCCAGGTCTCCAGGGTCCTAGTCAAACACCACACTAGTTCTTCATAGAGTTTATACTAATTTGTATTATACAATCTGTTATTATAAAAGGGCATATTTACCTCTCAGAGCCTCAACATCAAGACTCTGAAATCCTAGACACTTTAACAAGCTAGAATTGTTTGTTACATGGGATTAATTAACTTTGATTTAAATGTGTTTGTCTGCTTAAAAGCCTGAGGCCCCATCTTTAGTAATTAGGTAGTAAGTTCCATAACCAGCATGTAACTTTGCATTCAATAGAGTTTGAAGCAAAGGAAGGAAATGTCTGAGGGACAGAATTATAGAATTGCCTCACACCCCCTGACAGGTCTGGTATGTGCAAACTCCAACTTCATAGGACTTGGACACACAGAAGACATGCCTGTAGTCTCCAGCAGCTATGGCCTCTCTAAAAAGTGTGTGTGTTTTGGGGGGGGGGGCACAGTATGTCCAAATACGACATGTGTAATCTAAGTGGATGCAGGTACGTCTGCTAGTGTTCTATAATAGAATTAATTTTCAGAAATTTGTGTTGTTCTACTACTCAAGCCTCTCTTTTCTTGAGAATCTGTAATTAAATGTTCATGTTGTGGTCTCATTAGGATTAAAGTAACCTGTTGGATGAGAATAATCTCCTTTGTGGACACATTCCTAATTAGCCAAACTTTTAAAAATTACAGCAGGGTATTGTTGATTTTGCTTCTTATGTAGCAAGCATGGAATAATTAAAAATTAGTAGTACAGATCTTTCCATTTAAAAAAAAAATAAAGGGTATATTTAATTTGGGAACAACAAAGTTCATGTAGGGTAGAATTCTCTCTCTGAGATAGGCTGAGCAGATGCCTCTGGACAATTCAGACACAGTTTCAATCCTCAGAAGCTTACTGAATCTGAATTTACTTTCATTAATCACTCAAGTTACATCTAATACTGATCAGGCTACTATTAAATGAATCTATCAGGTGCGAATGCTCTTTCTGGCGCAAATGCTCCATCTGGCACAAACGCTCTCTCTGGTGCTTGCACGTGTACTCTGTCTGGTACTTGCACGAGCGCTCGGTCTGGGACAAGCACTCCCTCTGAACTGCTTGTACATTAAAATGGCATTCAGAAGTTAAATCAAAAACCGGGCTGAGCAACAGCTTGCATGTAGAAAAGTATGTATGTAGGGAGGTTCCACTGTAATCTTAAAGGAGTTCCAATTGCATGTGAGGAATATTGTTTCTTTTTCCTTCTGTGTTTGAACTGAGCCAAAAAGACTAATATGACCTGCTTATTGTGGTAATATATTGCCAGTGTCACAATTGTCTCCAATGCTCCCGTGCTTATGTATCCTGTTGTGAGATGCACTCTTTCCTTGCATCTGTGTGGCAAAGGGTGATCTTCCTCTTTTAACAAATGTTATGACTTTAGAAAAAAGAATTCCACTTAACATTAATTGTTGTGACCTTTTCTTTAGGATTCCGTAGTCTCAGAACGGGATTATGAAAGCCTTGTGATGATGCGGATGCGCCAAGCGGCTGAGAGGCAGAAACTTATTGAGCAGATGAAACAGGAAGACGAGGAAGAGTCATACACGTAGTACAAAGAAAAAACATTATTTGGAGCTTTTGGTTATGCTTCTTAAATTAAGTCAATAAATATCCTTTTTCAAAACAACTGTATTTTTTTGGGAAAAAATACTGCTCATCCTGATTGAGGAGCTATATCTGCTGGGAGTTTAAATGAAGACCACTAATGTCCAGCTCAGATCTTGTCAAATGATGACCAACCAACTCTTGAAAGAAGGGCATGTGCTTTATCCATTCCTGATTATGTTTCTCTTCAGTAAAACATGAGCCAGAGTACCTACAACTAGTTATATAGAAATTGCTAATCCATCCATCCATCCAACCCCACCCCACCCCACCCCAAAAAAATGCCAAAGGTACCTCTATAAATGGGCATAAATCATATGAGATGTCTTTATGTTTATTCAGAGTCTCTTAGCTCTACCATTTCCTGTGTGAAGATCACAAGTCACAGCTCTAATAGATTAGTTTAAAGTGTAGAACATTGAACAGGAGACTTCACCAATACAAATTCAAGTGTATGGAAAAGAATAAAAGACTTTGGTTGAAAGGAGGAATTCAACAAAGAGTACTTGAAAACACACTTTTGAAAGTCTCGTTACTACTTTTTTTCGTTGCTGTGTTTTTTTAAGAGTTTAGTAGTGCCTACAGTATCCATAACCCTACAATTTCTGTTTTTCCTTGTTCGTTGTCCACACCACAAGACAGGATCACACATTAATATTGGATTTATGGTCTATGCACCATATTTGTATAGAAAGTAAAGACCTTTGCAATTCAGATTAGATACTTAATAAATATTCATGCAACTTTTTTGAGGAAAGGAAAAGCTGTGTAAGGTCACTGTGCCATCCTGAGCCATTATGTTCCAGTGGAGTAGCTGCCCACATTTTCTGTGTCTTATATGGTCACCATTTCTCAGGATTTTGCTGAAGTGTTGAAATGCTTGCTCACCGGTGTATCAAAATGTACTATACCACAAAATTTTCAAAGGTAATGTCAAGATTCAGTTTCCTTTCATTCTTTATTCTTTTGCCAGTTACTTTAAGAATGATTTCAGTACACATAGTTCAAAATAATTCCAGCAACGAAGGGGCAACTAATACATTTATAAAACACACATTGAAATATTTACAGGATCTTCTGTTTGCAGTGCACATGTAAATTGTTGAAAATCACATATCACAGCCACAGAATTTTCAATACAACACTATAGCTTATTTTCATCAATTATGACTAATTTGTTCTATGGCATTCTCTCTTTTTTTTTAAGTGTCTGCAGAATTAGCCATTTCCTGGTTGATCTTTCCACTGCCTGCACCAGTAAGACTTGTTTCTTACATGGTGAATTTCATAATACTAGGTTGCTATCACTTAGTAGCAACAAGTGAGGATAACTCTACAAACACTGGTTCAAATCAGTTCTCAAAAATGATTGATTCCTATGAAAGTTCCAATCTGCCAGCGCTTGAAACTTAAGTGGACCACTTTTATTCCTATAATGTTCTTGAAATTATGTCTGTTTCAAAATACAGGGTTTTGAATAACTCTGCTGTCATGACGCCTAAAAACATACATTTGAGTGATTTACAGGAATATCTTAGTCAGGCAGATAATTTGAGTTCTGTATAATTTCTTTGTGGAGACACCACACCAATGTCTGTCCCACTCCCGTCATGCTGATCACTCGGTAGCCACATTTCTCCAGTTTGTCCAAGACGATCCGGGGGGCATCCTGCACATAGTATTCCCAGCTGTTATAACAAAGGTAAAAAATGAGAGCAGAGTTTTCCAGAGAACTTCCAGTAATCTGTATCCACACGGATGGAACACAACAGAATATGTACAAGATGCATTCATATTAATTAAAATGGAAATCCTGCTGCCTGACTGGTTCAAATTAGATTATCATAATTAACCTGCCAATCTTAGGAAATAGATTAAAATACCCATGTATCAATTAGTTAAACTGTTAACTAGCTTTTTGTATCAAAAAGAGAACAAGTTATATATAAATCTCATGCTCTTATATGCTTATGTTTACGGTACAGTTGTGCAAGAAATGCACTCATATGAATTAATCTTTGCCCATCATTTTAGAGAGAAGATCCATTGAGATTCAATATATTATTTACAAAATCTGTAGGTCTGTTTACAACATGAAATGCCCCACTTCATGCTGCAGTCAGACCAACACGTATTGTAAATATAAAAGAGTTGATTTTGGCTATGAAAACATTCAATGTAGGATTTTCCCTCCCAATTTAAAGATCACATATGCAATGCATACATTGAGCAATAAGAAACAATCTCATTACGTACTAAGACTACAATTTAGGAATTGAACCGCTTAAAATAATTAAAAATAGAATGCAAATATTGTTCCGCTACCTCCTTTTTTATCCACACTAATAAAGGATAATTAATACCTAGACAACATTTTTAATATTGCTGTGATCCTTGCTGTAAGAGTAAGTGACCTGGACTACATCGCCCACAGGTCATGATAATTGGCCACAGTGGTTGGGAATTTGGTGTGTTCTATTCCCAATATTTAAAGGTCCTTGGGTGACCTAACCCTGCCACACACCTGATTTTAGATAGGAGGCTTCATGCCTCAATGGCGAGTCTATGTTGAGTACCCAGAAATTTACAAATTCAATCCACAGTGTCTTCATTTGCTTATTTAGTTAACTACTACCTTTCTGACAATGCACCTGAAATAATTCATAGTAATACTAAAGATCAGAACAGAAAGTTGAGGTATAAATTAAATTTAAAATATTGTCTGGCTTACTATAAAATACTGTTTGCAAAACTTAATCTTGCCATTAAAATTCACCAAAATTATTTTATGGACACAGGAAATATTTGGAGTAACTGGACATTTAATTAGTTTTTAATAACATGTTACAATACAAACATGTCTGTAATTTGAAGGTTGACAGATTGCACAGGAAATATATATCTTCAGATACAGCTCAGTTCCTGCCTTGACATTCTGTAGGCTTCTTTTTTGTTATGTCCAGACTTCTGTTTTGGTTCCTAAACTGACAGCTCTGTGCTCATCTTCTTGGAATGCAGCATTTTCACACCCACAACAATGAGGCCAAATCAAGTGCTACATTCCACATAGGTTGTTTTGCTTTGTTCTCACTCGCTTCCTCCTCCTTATGTTCAAATGCAAAACTGGAGGAAGTTATACATCTCGTCACCATAGTGCAGAAAAAAAATCTGTCCAAAACTAAACTTCGGATCTTATCAAATGGAGTAGGTATGGACTGGAACCTGAACTATCTAAAGACAAGCTGATCGCTAGTGCAAAATCTAACACAAGTACTAGTATTCCTACCAACAATGATATCCAAAATATATTCTCAAATTGGAATACTCTTGCACACTTAAACCTACTTGAATTTGCCACTTACACATTCCCAAAAAAAGAAGAGGACACAGTTTTTTGTACAATGTTTAAATACTATCTGCAAAATCTACGTCCACATGTCTGATTGTCTATATGAAATTTTGGAAATAATGGATATAATTTCAATAGAAGTATAGTACATATCATCATACTGAGGAAGAATATGGATAGAACGTTAAAAATTGTGTGTGGTGGGCTTTTCTCTTGTATCCTTTAAATAATATTTTGACTGTACAGATATACCGCAATTAATGAAACAAAAGTCTCCCTTAGCATTACTTTGGCATCAGAGGTAGAAACAATATGCAAAGAGTAAGGTCAGGGTCCTGGACCGCCAAAAATAAGGAACCATTCAACATATTACAACAAACCTTTTAAGGAAAACTACCAATATACCAATTTCAAATTAAATAATCAAGTCAGGAAATCCCTGCAGAATTAAACAAGAATATTTTGAACTTTACTCTTGGAAAGTTTCTTCCAAAATGCATCCAGGAATGTCTGTTTCTTTCATTAGCCTTGACCTTTCTCCTTTTTGGAGGTCAGACTAATACAACTAATATGCTGTGCATATGCTTATCCACAATCCCCTTTTTACTCAGTTTTGCTGTTCATACATGCTCAGGCATTTGGGAATCCGGGGCTATTTAATGTGTTCTCGAACGCTTTCATGGCGGGAGCTGTTTATCTTGTGTGTTTATGAGACACACATAGTTACAATAGGATCAACTAAATGAGAATCCAGTTCGTTCCCATCTCCAACTTTACTGCATTGTTTACGGCAGAGCTGCTGCAGCAATCTTGCACTAGAAGTCTCTGCTTCCTTTATCATCTTCCTAATATTGCTACTACTCAAAAACCTTCAGCAAGACAGAGGTCAAGTATAAAGAAGTTGGGTGGGCTTAAAAACTTCATATAATATCTTTGTTTTGTCTGCTGTGTTTGCCTGGGTTTTGTTTCTATTATGATACTTTATTTTGAAATCATAATGTAATTATTGATTTGAACTTTTCATTGCCAACACACAATAGTAGATAAATACAAATTCCACACAGAGGTTGACCATAAATTTGTGCTGGAGGACCTAGACATGCCTAGAGATATGGTTTGTCTAGGGATCTCTAGGTCCTGTGGCACAATTCAATTTTCACCAAAAGATGGAAGGCTCAAAGATTCCTAGAAAAACTGTATTAGTCAAATGCACAAGCTGAACTTGTATGTCTGGTTTAGAAAAGAACAAGAAAGGCAATGAAAAAAGATGGCAAAGAGCAATTCAAAAACACAGAAATACTTACAAATGATTTCCTAGCATATTTCTTTTTGTGGCTCCAAGGTAGTTCATCAAATTTGGATCAGAATGCTCATCGCCAACCATTGTGGGCCCAACTTCCTGCAAAAAGAAAGGTATCGTTCCATTGCCTGAAAACCATGAGACTTAGTTTATGTTATAGCTGCTTCGATCAGCCATCAGGGCATTTCATCCTGTCCAGCAGAGGTAGGGGATAATATGTGATCCTCTCACTTTTGTTGGACTGTAATGCTTATGACCATTCACCATTTACAGTGCTGGCTAGGACTGATAGAAGTTGCAATCCAGAAACCTTTGGAGGCTTAAACATTCTCAATCCCTGCAATTTAGCCAAATTTATATGTTGGCACAATCTCAACTAGCCTTCTCTGAACAAGTGTTGTTTGTGTTGCCTGGGAATCATGGGTAGTACGGTCCAACACGCCTGGAGGAGTAAGCTGAGGAAGATAACTTTAAAGTACAGTTAAGAGGCATGTTTTCTCTGGTCAGTATTTGTCTTGGAAAGTACATAAAAAGTATTTGATGCATTCAAGATATAGTTTGGCAAGCCAGTTATAGTCACACCTAGGTAATAATAATATTGCCATAACTGCCCATGTTGGTAAGAAGGTCCAGGTTATACTGCTACGATGAAATGTACATTGGCTTTAATGTGTTTAATTTTATCTGTAATTTTCGGGCTTGTTCCCTTTGTAAGCCATCCCGATTCCCCTTGGGGAGATGGTGACGGGCTATAAAAATAAAGTTATTATTGTTTTATTATTATGGAGTCACACTGGAAGATTTTAAAAAACCAGGTTGTTAACCAGTATTTGCTAATCTTGTATATTTTGCCAGAGTTGAGATACCACTGGCTTTCAGTTTATTTCTGAGTACAGTTCAAAGTACTTCCTTTAACAAACAAAACAATGTGGAGAAATTATTCCATATACAGATCAGATAATGCAGATATCAGATATACCTGTATACCTATAGTGGTATACAGGTATATCAATGTTTCTCTATGGAGACAAATCCATAGTATCAAATTTATTGTCCTTTTTGTGCCTGGTCAAAAAACCATTCAGTTATTGATTGGGTAGCCATTTACTACTTTTACTGTGACCTAATTCATTTTTGTTTATTTTGATATTGCAGTTTATGTTATAGCTGCTTCGATATCTTTATAGGCCCACTTGTGGAGAAAAATAACATTACATGTAAGTGCCTTAGAAAAGATAACACTAAAAATAAATGATTTAAAAATATAGAAAATAGTTGAATAGAAAGATAACTAAATAGCTAGTTGCTTGCTTTAGAGCAGGCATGGGCAAACTTCGGCCCCCCCAGATGTTTTGGCCTCCAACTCCCACTATTCCTAACAGCTAGCAGGCTATTAGGAATTGTGGGAGTTGGAATCCAAAACACCTGGAGGGCCAAAGTTTGCCCATGCCTGCTTTAGAGTCTGATGTAGCCAGAGGAGGAAGATGGGCATTAAATGCTCTGTAACAACTCCCCCTACAGGTTGAACACAGACAGCTGATTCCAAATAATTCCATTATCTTATACGAGCTCCAAAATGCTTGGGAACAGAAATGTTTTGGTTTTTAGAATATTTGTATTTAATACAGATGATGATGATGATGATGATGATGATGATGATGATGATGATGATGATGATGATGATGATGATCTTTAGTTATACCCTGCCACCATCTCCCAGGGGGACTCGGTGTGCCTTACAAAGTACTCAAATGTGTAAACACATAAAAAACACAAATTGTAGAAACAGTAACATTAAACAATAACAGCAACCTAAATAGCTCACTTTACAAATCCCTCTGGTTAAAATCAGTAAAATACAGCAATAGCTGCAGGTTCAAAACAATAATCAATCTCAGTCATATAAACTGCCTGGTGAAATCTATGTGTCCTCACATATATTCATTAAAGGAATGTGTTTGTTGTTCATTCGTTCAGTCGTCTCCGACTCTTCGTGACCTCATGGACCAGCCCACGCCAGAGCTCCCTGTCGGCCGTTACCACCCCCAGCTCCCTCAAGGTCAGTCCAGTCACTTCAAGGATGCCATCCATCCATCTTGCCCTTGGTCGGCCCCTCTTCCTTTTGCCTTCCACTTTCCCCAGCATAATTGTTTTCTCTAGGCTTTCCTGTCTCCTCATGATGTGGCCAAAGTACTTCAACTTTGTCTCTAGTATCTTTCCCTCCAGTGAGCAGTCGGGCTTTATTTCCTGGAGGATGGACTGGTTGGATCTTCTCGCAGTCCAAGGCACTCTCAGAACTTTCCTCCAACACCACAGTCAAAAGCATCGATCTTCCTTCGCTCAGCCTACCCTAAGGTCCAGCTCTCACATCCGTAGGTTACTACAGGGAATACCATGGCTTTGACTAGGCGGATCTTTGTTGCCAGTGTGATGTCTCTACTCTTTACTATTTTATCGAGATTGGACATTGCTCTCCTCCCAAGAAGTAAGCGTCTTCTGATTTCCTGGCCACAGTCTGCATCTGCAGTAATCTTTGCACCTAGAAAAACAAAGTCTGTCACGGCCTCCACGGTTTCTCCCTCTATTTTCCAGTTGTCAATCATTCTTGTTGCCATAATCTTGGTTTTTTTGACGTTTAGCTGCAACCCGGCTTTTGCACTTTCTTCTTTCACCTTGGTTAGAAGGCTCCTCAGCTCCTCCTCGCTTTCGGCCATCAAAGTGGTATCATCTGCATATCTAAGGTTGTTAATGTTTCTTCCAGCAATTTTCACCCAGCCTTGCATTCATCAAGCCCCGCACATCGCATGATGTGTTCTGCATACAAGTTGAATAGGTTGGGTGAGAGCATACAACCCTGCCGTACGCCTTTCCCAATCTTGAACCAGCCTGTTGTTCCATGGTCAGTTCTGACTGTTCCTACTTGGTCCTTATACAGATTCCTCAGGAGAGAGACAAGGTGATTTGGTATGCCCATACTACCAAGAACTTGCCACAATTTATTATGATCCACACAGTCAAAGGCTTTAGAATAGTCAATGAAGCAGAAGTAGATGTTTTTCTGAAACTCCCTGCCTTTCTCCATTATCCAGCGGATATTGGCAATCTGGTCTCTCGTTCCTCTGCCTTTTCTAAACCCAGCTTGAACATCTGGCAACTCTCGCTCCATGTATTGCTGGAGTCTTCCTTGCAGGATCCTGAGCATTACCTTACTGGCATGAGAAATAAGGGCCACTGTACGGAAGTTTGAGCAGTCTTTCGCATTTCCCTTTTTTGGTATGGGGATATAAGTTGATTTTTTCCAGTCTGATGGCCATTTTTGTGTTTTCCATATTTGCTGGCATATGGCATGCATCACCTTGACAGCATTATCTTTTAAGATTTTAAACAGTTCAGCTGGGATCCCATCGTCTCCTGCTGCCTTGTTGTTAGCAATGCTTCTTAAGGCCCATTCAACCTCACTCCTCAGGATGTCTGGTTCTAATTCAGTCACCACACCGTCAAAACTATCCTCAATATTATTATCCTTCCTATACAGATCTTCTGTATAGTCTCGCCACCTTCTCTTGATCTCTTCAGCTTCTGTTAGGTCCCTGCCATCTTTGTTTCTTATCATACCAATTTTTGCCTGAAATTACCTCCAATGTTTCTAATTTTCTGGAAGAGGTCTCTTGTCCTTCCTATTCTGTTGTCTTCTTCCACTTCCATGCATTGCTTATTTAAAAATAGTTCCTTATCTCTTCTGGCTAACCTCTGGAATTGCGCATTTAACTGGGCATATCTCCTCTTATCATTGTTTCCTTTTGCTTTCCTCCTTTCTTGGGCTACTTCCAGTGTCTCAGCAGACAACCATTTTGCCTTCTTGGTTTTCTTTTTCTTTGGGACGTACTTTGTTGCCGCCTCCTGAACAATGTCTCGGACTTCTGTCCATAGTTCTTCTGGGACTCTGTTTACTAAATCTAGTCCTTCAAATCTGTTCTTCACTTCCACTGTATATTCGCTAGGAATGTTAGTGAGATCATATCTAACTGGTGTGTGTATTTTCCCTGATCTCTTTAGTTTTATTCTAAATTGGCAATAAGAAGTTCGTGATCTGAGCTACAGTCAGCCCCAGGTCTTGTTTTCACCGACTGGATGGATGTCCGCCACCTTTGGCTGCAAAGGATGTAGTCAATCTGATTTCGGTGTTGACCGTCTGGTGAGTCCATGTGTAAAGCCGTCTTTTAGGTTGTTGGAAGAGAGTATTCGTTATACACAGCGAGTTTTCCTGGCAAAATTCTATCAGCCTGTGTCCCGCTTCATTTTGCTCTCCCAGACCATGCTTGCCTGTGATCCCAGTTGTCATTTGACTTCCCACCTTGGCATTCCAGTCTCCTGTAATGAAAATAATGTCTCTTTTTGGTGTATTATCCAGTAGGTCCTGCAGATCCTCATAGAACTGATCTACTTCTGCTTCTTCAGCAGCTGTGGTTGGGGCATATATTTGGACCACTGTAATGTTGAAAGGCTTTCCTTGCACTCGAATTGAGATCATTCTGTCATTTTTTGGGTTGTATCCAAGCACCGCTTTAGCGAATTTCTTATTAATTATGAAGGCTACTCCATTTCTTCGATGTTCCTCTTGTCCGCAGTAGTAGATCTGGTGGTCATCTGATGTGAAGTGGCCAATTCCAGTCCATTTCAGTTCGCTGACCCCCAGAATGTCTATCTTTAGTCTTGACATCTCACCAATAACAACATCCAATTTGCCCTGGCTCATAGATCTTACATTCCAGGTTCCTATGGTGTTGATCTTTAGAGCATCGGATTCGTCGTTCACCTCCAGTACCGTCGGCCGCTAGCCTTCCTTTCGGCTTTGAGCTAGCTGCGTCATCACATCTGGGGCTAGTTGAACTTATACTCTGCTCCTCCCCAGTAGCATTTTGGCCATCTTCCGACCTGGGAGTCCCATCTTCCAATGGCATACCGACATATCTCTGGTTGTACTGGGCCATTTAGTTTTCTTGGCAAGGATACTGGAGTGGTTTGCCATTGCCTTCCCCAGGGAATGGCCATACAGCCCAGCAAACGGAATGTAAAGGAATGTAAATATGGCTAAAGGT